TGAAACGTCAACATATACAAAATAAACAATAGTCTGTCAGTCAGTCCGTCAGTGAAACTAGGTGAAGCTAGGTGTTCTTTCCAAAATGTAGATTCGATTGGAGTAATGTAAATGATTAAATATCTCCAGAGACATGAATATACAAAAGCTATTGATTGTACTGTATTTTTAAAACAAGTCCTGTATTTTTTTTTAAAGAATAAATTAAGAGCTTTCAAACTTAAAGTAATGTATATATTTGTGAACATTTTACTAACACGTACACCCCTTTGTATCTTTATTATTTTAACAAAACATTTCGTCCCAAAAATATATTTTTACGTCTCATTAAATATTTGTAGCAGCAAAAAATTTTACGTCAGCGTCTTTAAAAATGAAGTCGAATTTTTGCGTAAAATTATTTTAATCTATATATATAAAATTCAAAGGTGATTGACTGACTGACTGATTGACTGACTGACATAGTGATCTATCAACGCACAGCCCAAACCGCTGGACAGATTGGGCTAAAATTTGGCATACAGATAGATGTTATGACGTAGGCATTCGCTAAGAAAGGATTTTGATAATTTCCACCCCCAAGGGGGTAAAAAAGGGGATGAAAGTTTGTATGAAACTTTGTCAGTTTTTAACTGACCGGGTTGAAATTTGGCATGCAGATAGATGTTATGACGTAAGCATCCGCTTTGAAAGGATTTTGATAATTTCCACCAAGGGGGTAAAATAGGGGATGAACGTTTGTGTGAGGCTTTGTCAGTTTTACACCGATCGGGTTGAAATTCGGCGTGCAGATGGATATTATGACGTAAACGTCCCTTTAGAAAGGTTTTTGAACATTCTCACCCCAAAGTATGATACTTTGCCAGTTTTAAATTGATCGGGCTGAGACTTTGCATGCATAAAGTTACTATGACATAGGTATCTCTTTAGAAAGGATTTTGATAAATTCCACCCCTAAGGGGATAAAATAGGGAATGAGAGTTTGTATAAATCTTCTTAGCCGTTGAATTTAGAATCATTGAATCTTTTTGAATTACATTCGGTAAAACGATGATTTGGGACCTGGGTAACGTATGATAGTTTTTTCACAGATGTCTCACGAGAACGGGAACTATGCGTCAATGCCCCAGGACTCTCTAACTCTTAACCACTGAACTTATTCTAGAGAGATTCGGTACAACAATAGTCGATAGAATAGTTTTTATTACTCAAACCTTACGTGATCGGGCACTGTACTGGTAAGATCCCTGCGGGATTATTTATTTATTGAAACTACGATAAATCATTTCAAAATAGGTAAATCTTACTTGGGCACTGAATTGATTCTGGTTAATTCTGTCAGAAGTCATTAATCTACGCGGACGAAGTCGCGGGCAACAGCTATCTACACATATAATAAATCGTAGAAAAGTCAAAACTGTACATTGAATATTTTTTAAAAGAATATTTGAAGCGTGATCTCTAATCGATACCGAAGCCAATAATGTGGTTTTTAGAATTTTTGTCTGTTTGTCTGTATGTATGGCCGTGATGATCTCAAAAAGTACTGCACTACTATTTCAAATTTTGCATGAATATTACTAACAAGTCTGGTAAACATATAGGCTACATATTATCACGCTATCATCTACGGGACTGAATCAATTCTGACGACATCCATTACCGTAGAATATCCCTTGATAAAAACTAATTCAAAAGCCTAAATTCTGCCAGAAGTCATTATTCTACGCGGACGAAGTCGCGGGCAACAGCTAGTATTCTAAATAAAATGCTTATCTATACAATGACCTTGGTCTCACTTGCAGACTTCAATAAATTTTCCAATGTTTTTAATTTTACACGACACAATACATGTTTTTTTAAAGTCCAACATAGTTAAAGAGGATCACTTAGACTTAACTTTTTTTAGACGTGGTGGCTACATAGTCTCTCTCTCAAAAACTAATAAAGGATTGCCAGATAATCTCTTAAAAATCAGTAATTGATTTTATACTTACACAAAGTCACGAAAGCGACATAAACA